GCCCCCCCCCCCCCCCCCCCCAATATCACCCAAAAAAGTTCTTTTCAAATAACGGAAATACTCCACAAAATAACGTGCATATGGCATTGTAGTGTAGCAGACAATGTTATTTGACAAGAATGCACAACTTCTTTATGAATAAAAGAAACTACAGAATGATAATGAGTCAGTAACTGCAATCAGCATTTGTATTTCTTACCCATGCAGATAACAAGCAAAAAGCAACAGCAGCTAGCTGGTAAAGTTCATTAGTCTGGAGAGAAGAAAAGAAGAAAGTTAATTCATGAGATGCTAATCGTGCTAAGAAAATGGTATCAAATTAAGTGGTTTAGCCTAACCTGAGATGACAGCCGCATCATCAGTTTAAGAAAGCGAGGAACAAACGACCAAGACAATATAGATGTAGCAGTGATATACAAGGACAGTATCAGCAACCTGAAGTTTGAAGTAGTTAGATGGTATCCTAATGACTACATGCGAAATTTAGGTTAAATCCCCCCTCCCCAAAAAAAAACCCTATATTTCAACAAAATTGCATTCTTGTGGTCATTCTCTTGCCCAAAAATCCAACATCAAGATTCATGATTCATCATTTGTTCCAGTACTCTGTTTTCTCGAGTTACACACAGAATAATGTCACAGTTCAACCACAAATTATGGTCTCCCACTGATACATTTTATCTGGTTTAGAAGACAAATCTCATATACCTTGGTAAGGTTCATGTATTTTAAGCTCAAAAATATCACATGCTGTGTTTCTAAATTGTAAGATCTTAGAGCTTGTATAATAAAGTTAATTTGGAGAAAAACTTCAGGGAGGTAAAGTGTATACGCTTAAATTCAGGTTCAACATAGATTAAAGCAGAAAGTTGTATGAATAGCAACATTATACAGTTCAATTGGCTTGCATTGAGTGAACAAGTTGTTAATGATCAGTAAGCAAAAGAGAGTCTCTGAAATAATACAATGAAATCAAAGAAAGAAAGTGCAGATGGACAGACTTACAGTTTTCCCATTGACATTATTCCTTGTAAAAGACCGCTGTTACCACCCAAAACTGGGAGCAAAGCAAATAGTAAACCCACAGCACAATCCTGATATAACAAGTGGTAAAGGAAATATTGATATGCAATATAAATCTAACTTTAGAGCATATTACTTTATGAAAAGCTAGTGAGTTCAAAATTTAAAACTCAACAAGATACCTGAAAAATAAGAGTTCCAATTGTAATCTGAACATGAAGAGCATTACTACTATTCCGCTCCACCAAAAACTTTACCACCTGGTAAAAGGTAAAAGTAAATAATCACCGTGCTTAGAATCTATTAAAAACCAAAATAACAATATACACAGTAATGGTGTAAAAACATACTACTGCTGTTGATGACATCGACAGAAAGGAACCAACAAAAACACCCTCAGACAAATTCGCTCCAAATATCTGCATACCAAATGAACAATAACGTGTAGTGTCCATTAAAACACTATTGTAACTCCTTAATTCTATTGATGACCGTATAAGACAAGTCAGCACCATACCATGGAAAGAATACCACACATGAACATAAAAATGACAATTTGAAGTAGTCCTCCAAGAACAGCAACAGGCCCTACAGCTTTTAACTGCATGCATATAAAATCTAAAATTAGAAAATGGAACACAAAGAAAAGTTTTACTAATCTACAAGCACAAACCCAAATCAAAAAGCCTTAGACATGGATAATACATATAAAATCAAAAAGCCTTAGACATGAATATAAAATCTAAAATTAGAAAATGGAACACAAAGAAAAGTTTTACTAATCTACAAGCACAAACCCAAATCAAAAAGCCTTAGATATGGGTAATACATATATTTCCTGACAATCTTAAAATATGATTTGAGCTTTAGCTTGAATTGAGCTTATAGCATGAAAATAGGTGAAACTGTGAAAGAAGTTTTTGCAAGACATGAATAACAAACCTTTGCCAGGGAAAACTCAAGCCCCAAAGCAAAGAGAAGAAACACTACACCAAATTGTGCAACAGTCTCAACCTGCATATAAGTGACAAGGAAAATAAGGTTATCCAGCAAAATGACCGAGTAACAACATAAGAACAATTAACAGCTTAAATTTAAGTTTAAAGTTAAAAAATGCAAATAGAAATATCATTCTTTTCAATGTTTCAACCATGGAGGAAGTAGGTAGTCACGAACCATCAAAAGTTACTTTATATGCCGTATAGGTCATATTAAATTATTAATATGTTAAGCTGATAGAACAGTTTAGCTTCGATGTTAAAGGCATCTTAGAAATTTTCAAAAGATTGTTTATTCTTTTTTTGCATTTGCACCTCAACAGGCTTACATCATGCACATGAGGTCAGTATTTAAGATTTCATCCTAGTACAGATCAAAAATTGTTTTCAAAAAGTTAGTTATATTAAACAAGTGCTTTAAAATGACAGAAATTTTTATTCTAAAAAATTAGATTGTGAAAATTTTCTTATTGGATTACACGATTCAATTTCTTCCAAAGAATGCTTAAAGTACTCAGACTATAGATTACCTTTGTTTGGGCCTAAATCAGGCCAGCAGATAATTGAACCACGAAATCTATTTCTAGTTCTGTGCATACTACCCAACAGCCACCAATCAAGCCCTCAATGATCATCTAATTGTAGTATTGTGATTGACCAATTGATAAAAGTAACAAGGGATAATATCAAACACTGAAATCACACACAATACAACAATACACTTGTTATCCCAGAGACAAAGTGTCACCTATTACAGAAATACAGCAGTACACTGGTTATCCCGGAGACAAAAGTCTCCTCCAGAGAGTATTCTCTGTCCGCAAACTGACAATGATTTCACACTCCTAATTACACAACCTACAATCGAATATATACTTCTAATACATAACTACCAACAGTTATTTTCTACACATAACTGCCAACCTAGAGATTCTAATAAATAACTAACTACCAATAGTTATTTACTTATTTTCTATGCATAACTGTCACAGTGTCACCCTGGAGTTTTTAATATAGATCTGATTTCTAAAGCAGATATTTTCTACACACAAATGCCCCTAACTCTCAGCTTCCAAATTACCCATCCAACCATTAGAAAAACATAAATAAATCCAAATTCCTAACTTTGAAACATCTTACTTGGGGGGTTTCAACTTTCAAGGTGAATATTGTAACCATGAATGTTATTGCTTGATAAATTCATAAATATATATAGTTAGAAATTAACATGCTTGGGAATCATTTGTGGGGTGAGAAGGGAAATTAATACCATATTCCAAGGTAACTTCCAAAATTCCCAAGAGAATGCAACATTCTCACCCAGAATAAAATCAAATAAAAATATAGGCACTTTCCTGGGAATCAACCAGACCCAAGAATATTTTTTCAGAGCTTGTACCAAAGGCAAGCATAGGAATGTCACATTCCCAAGTTCACTTTCCCAGGAATAACTTGCCAAGCCTTGAAACAAATACAACCTTAAGGGTTAAAATCCCAGCCTTAACCCTCACACACAATAATTCCTTCACTGTCCTATGTTAATTGTCACTACGATCCCTAATCCTGCTTGAGAGCAGCCATCCATACCTTAAGCAAAGCTCTGATAGGTCAATAAGAAAAGATCAATTTCTATAAGATTTTGAGAATTAATGGATAGAGAACCATTTAAAGGCAGTGGAAACTTCTGATGATCATGATGTGCACATATGGAGGAATCTAGATCTCAAGATTGTAAAAATGTGATCTTTAACCATTACAATAACTAATAAGTGAGGCCACGAATTTATAGAGAAGACAGATAAGAATAGAAACTCAAAAATTCGATCACAAGTTTTGTCCAAGAATGATGGTGATGGGTGAGTCACTCAGAACAACCTACCTGCACCATTTCACTGATGAATTTCAAACCGCCAGGTCCAATAAGGGAGCCTGCAAGAAGATAGCCCACAATAACCTACACATTTAAAAAAAAAAAATGTAGATGAAATCCACAACATTCTTGATAGATTACTTATTTCAAAGTATTGGAGTATAGTTTTCCTCCTTATTTTCTCATATGGGCAGTAATAATACAGGGCCTTATAATTCTAGTTTTATTAGTTTCTGTTGTATTACTAAGTCTGTTTGTGCTATTAGTATCCTCGTAGTGAAACAGGTTCTGTTTTTTCCACTCAAATATAAACTGCATGTACGCCCTCTATTCAGTGAGTTGAATATACAATTCTTACATTTCAGAAATACTATCTCTCTTATTTTCTCTCTCTTTAAACTCTATAAAAAGAAGTCCACTCAAATATATTACTTAGGAGGCGTTTAGTATACAGAAAATTATTTCATGCCTTGGAATCATGATTCATGAGAATCATAAATTCTGAAAATTACGATTCCTAAGAATGATTAAAATCTATTTAATTGGCCATAAATATTTTTGGAAATATTTATAAATGTTATTTGGGAAAAGATTTTTACTGCATTAAATAAACAATATAGGTAATGTAATATTTAAACTTTCCTTTTAACTTGGGAATGTTAGTTTTTCACCTTTCCCAAGGAAATAATTTCGTGGGAAACCTCTATAAAAGCATTCATGAGAAACAATTAGGGATGAGAATAGGTCAGACTTTAAAATAGGGGCTTATGGTTTGACCTTTTTAAAGTTTGACCTATTTAATAAAAAGGTCAAGTTTAGGTTTTTAAAAAAACCTATTTATATAAAAACAGACAGACTTAGGCTTATAGAAAACCTGTTAGGCCAGATAGATCAACCTAATTTTCTTATATAATACAATATAATAAAAAATTAATATATATATATATATAAATATTATTAAAAAATACAAATAAACAAATAAATTTATAAAACAAAAATAAAATCAATATTTAAAATACTTTTTTATACATTTTTTTTTCATTATAGGTTTATAAGCTTACAACTTGTGCATAATTGTACATCAACATACATGGTTACACATGAATTGTTCCTTCAATAGAAAATAATTCAATTTTTCTTTTATATTTCTTTTTAAATTTAAATTTTAATAATATTGAGTAAATTGTATTTTAAAAATAATTTTGTTGATTTTTAAAAATTAAGTTTATTGGTCTAATTAACATTAATAATTTAAATAGACTTTTAAATAGACTAATAGACTAGATCAGGCTTAAAAAAGGTTAGGCCAAGCCTATAAAAAAAAAGGCCTATGATAGATAATAGGCCAGATTTAGGTTTTAATTTTATAGAACAGACTCAACTTATATATTCAAAGCATGACCTGGCTTGACTTATTCTCATCCCTAAAAATAATGTTTCCTGAGAATGTTATCTTTTAAATGGCAAATCAAACATAAGAAACTAACATTCCTAAATTCAAGTTACTGGGAGAGTAAAAACTTTTTGTGTACCAAATGCTTCCTTAGTGTTAGATTTTATCTTAAAACCAAATGACATGAAGTTGTCCAACAAATATATAAGTTACACTCCGAGAATTGAAACATGCCATGTGGGAGATCCCAACACTTAATATCACTAAAATATAATTTAAATATGAAAATATTCTACTGCATAAAGAACATCAAATGTCACAATGAGAAATAGTAACAATTACAGACCGGTTGCCCCAAACAGGAAAAGACAATTCCACCAATGGCTGCTGAAACTATGGCAACCACCAAATCTGATATTAACCTGCATAAATGTGCAATTATTCAAAGGATGATCAAATCTCGTGTTAGAAAAAAAAAATAGAACAAACTGCCGAAACCGAAACAAATTTCTAGGAAAAAATACAAAGGCATCACCATCTAATATTATCATAAAATAAATTTATAATTATAATTTTGGAAAACAGAAAATGATACTTGTTGGAGAGCAAGCTATCCTTTGAGATCTAAAAGTCATTGATATCTGGCCTCTCTATTTGGAGCACACAAAAACAATTTTAACTAAAGAATTTGGTAAAACCTCCAAGAGCAAGTAAAGAAAAATCCAAACCCATTTATTTTTTCACATGAAAAAGAGAAAATCACAAAAAGATGGAAACAGGATGGTTTGTCATTTTCACAAATATATCTTCTAAAACTACTTGATTTCTAACTCTGACACATCATTAAAATAGCACATTCCATGATCCAGCATCAATACGGATTCATGAACAACAGAAATCAGCCCAGAAACACGTCACTTTGTCCAAATTTAAACCCATTTCTTAACACAAACAATATCCTTCAATTATTCAACCAAGCTGATAAAAAATTCCCCGAGTAATAATTACAAGATACAAGTCATAAAGGTGTCAACCTCAAATCCACTTGAAGCACAGGATATTTGGATTTCTTGTTTGACATCACAAAAACATTGTCCTGCCATGCAATAGCATAAACAAGTAATCAGGTTGAAACATTAATAGAAGTAGTTTAATATCACATTGAACAACAACCCAGAGGCTTCAGGTCTTTTAGCGCACCTTTTTGTCAATCAAAGTTGTCACGTCATCAGAATCTTCATTTTCCAGAGAGAAAACATCTTGAAACTGAAATGATCTTGTGCCACTGAGAAAAAAAATATTAAAAAAGAATAAAAAGGTTATTTAGTATATGTAAATAAAGTGACATCCAATAATCCATTATAAGACGCAATATGAGAAACTACATCGGGCAACATATGACCATACTTTCCCTCATGTGTATCATTTCTCTTTGCTTTCTCATGAGTAATTTTAGCTACAGTCTCCAATACAGCCTGCAAAAGGAGACCAGATGGTCAAAACTCATCTTTAAATTTACAAAAAAACAAGTGAGAATAATCATTTTATCCTTAGTCACTCAACTTGTTTTTTTTTTTGGTGGGGGGGTAGGAGGTATGAATAGTATTAGAATATATAATAAATTCATAATATACTCGGTATATTTTTCCAGACAGTTTCTTGGAGTTAAAAGAGAAGTGCTGGCAACACTATCTCTTATTGGTTAAATTCATTGAAAACAACAAAATCATGAGATTCATTAAATAGGGTGTGGGACCTACCAAATTTGTGATTTCCAATGAATTTCAATTAGCATTTTTCTATTTAAAATATACCATGGAATCAATTAGTCTTCTAATTGAGGAAGTAATCTTAGGAATTGTTTCCTATTTTCATTTTGTTTCCCTATTTTAATAAGAACTAGTAGTCTTGTCTTATCATATAAGTTTTATTAGTACATTCGGGTTAACTAGTGGTACTACACTTGTTTTGGACCTAATTATTAGTGTAAACAGGACCATTTGGTTAGCATTTTGAAATTTTGAATAACATCATTATATAACATATAATATAATTTTATTATTCTTGGTATTGTTTTTCTCTCTCTTGGTCTCCTACCAAAACAATATATTTCAACATCCAAACCAAGAAGTAGTAATTATTAGCACAATATGAAAATGGCTGAGGGCTACATCGAAACAAAAATAGTTCAAATATCAACATCAGAGTTATGTTATGCATACATGACTAGGAAGATAAAATAGAAAGAAAAGCTCTTATTTAACACAATAGATAGTAATAAAACAATAAGCAGACACTTTTCCATGCAAGTGATGGAGACTTCTAAACTGATAGATGGAGATTTGAGGAGAAAAAAAACATATCCCAGAAATAGACTCATGTCACTTCTCATGTAATATTCAAGACCGAAATCAACATGCATTTAGTCCAGGCAGCATGTTATACAAAATGAAATATCAGCTTGTTTTCATCTGAACCATGAAATAATTCAATTCAACACAACAATTGAAACTTATCAGATCTACCTGCTGATCAGCTACACTGCTATTGAAGCTGCTTTTATCGGCTTCTGTTAAAGATGGAAAAGAACAGTGAGAATAGCAGAAAACCTACTTAAAACAAATCTATGAGCTTCATAATTCAATTTTTGATTTGTGACAGCTGAATATATTTCATCTCACAAGCAAACCCTGAAAAATAAACCGAGTAATAAAATAATTGAATGTAAGAGAGTATCATTTAGACTATAATACTCACATATCATCCATGGCAACATCCATATTCAAAACACAAAAAGACAGTTAAAATGATACACTGCAGCAACTAGTATAGCGAGTAAAAGCTTATAAGGTTAAATGCAGATTGTTCCAATGCAGTATCAGTAATTAACTAATAATACATCCATGAAAAATCCATTTTAAAATACTTAAAACTATCTGTATATTTTTAAAAATAAAGTTTTAGCTTCAAGAACTCTGTATGACAAGATATGAAGCAATGGAGTGAACGCAAATATTTTTACATCTCCCAACAAGAATTTAACCCTGATCATATCTCTCAACAAATACAGTTCATCCCCCTACCATGGTTTCTTGCTAATCTCACAAACATAGAACAATGTTATTCTCCTTCAAAGTTCAAACCTTACCACAGATCCAGCATATCTAGATGCTATTAGCACTCAACGTGCTACAAAATAATTATAACATGCCAGCACTCCACCATTAATGCACAACAAAGAACAATAGGAAAAGCGAACCAGTTGATCCACAGTTTTGCCCCTCCTACTTATCATCTTACAACAAAAAGAAGAACGTGCTTGACCTGGGAAAGCCAAAGTGATGAAGTGAGACTAGAAAAGGAGGTGAATTGTCTGATTAAATCCACCCACACGCCAATCTCCACTGCACATGCTCCCTCACCTTGTCCATTAGAAATTCCAACTCTAGAACTCCTTCAACCTTAAAAACCACCTAGAAGGTTCTCTTGCTCCACACTTTCTCCTATCCAAACAAACCCTCTACACCAAAAACTTCAAATGCATCATTTTCCATAACATATTCAATCCAACGCAGCAACCACTTCAGTATACAATCTCCACTGTGTGTAAAAACTCGTCAGGTCAGTAGTAGTCACAGTACTCCGAAATTAATCTCCGGCCCAATAGCAGGCAGGGGAATATACCCGTGGCAAGACCTAAAACAAAAGCTTCTCACACTTAATTAAAGCACAATATACACGAAGAGAGACACCATAAATGGGCATGATCCCTCCTTGATCACGCATAGTAGCACTAACTGGGATTTCTCGAGCTCGCAATAGGCTTCAAGACTCTCCATTTAGTGTCTCCTCTTTGGTGAACACTAACCCATCAAGTTATTTTATTTTTTTTCCAAAACCAACCAACCAATAAATAAAAATAAAAATAAAAAGAGAACTATAATAAACCACAACGCAAAATTATATTTTTTTAATATAAACACAAAATTGGGAAAGAAAGAAAACCTTCGGGTTGGTCATTATCGGAAAACTCCTTCTCGAGAACGCGATCGAACATCTTGGCGAAGGTGTTGTTGGATTCGGGCGAGGAGGAGTTGAGCATGTTGCCGTAGAACCTCTCGCGCGTCTCCTGGTCGGATCTGGCCGCGCCGCAAACCCTAGCGCAGATCGCGAGGCACAAAACGCAGCAGCAGAGCCAAAACGCGCGCCGTTTCTTGGGAATCGCCGTGGCCATGGTTGCGGTGGCCAAGTGAGTTTGGGTTTACTTAGTTTGGGGAATTGGAAAAGTGGGAAGAGACGGAAATGGAAGGGAAAGGAAAGGAAAGGAAATGCAATGCAGAGAGGGAAAACGGTTTTTCCGATTTCAGAAGCTCGCAGCACTTCTGGTTAGTTGCATTTCCATTGTTGACGTTGTTGTCGCCAATATCAATTTCAAGGATACGTTTTTTCCTTTCACACTCAGTTTTTCTGAAAAGCTCAGGGTCTTTTCTGTAATTTCATTACATTTATATATAAAAATAAAATACTATATTCACTCAAAACTTCATTCCCATATTGGGATATTCAACTTCCATTATCATTGATTAAGAAACAACATATATATGAAATTAATTGAGTTAACAACATTAACTATTTTGTCTTATTATAATATTTTCACCTGGATTTTTCTTTCCATTTATATACATTTTTACTAAACTTGAATTTCAAACTTTACTCTATAAATCTCATTAATAACATATTTATTTTTGTAATCATTTAATCTTTATTATTGTCATTGTAATAAATTTATTGATAAAATAATTATGATCCTCAAATCATAAATTACTACACACAAGTTTAATGAATATATATTATCATTGTAAAACTAATTATAAATCAATTTTAAAGTATTTTTAAATAATTATTATTAATGTCAACAAATTTATAATACATGATAATTTGTGTTTCAATGTAATATATATTATAAATTTGTTAATTTTTGCAATAGTTGTTTTAAAAGTCATATTTGTTAATGTAGAACTATTTTGTATATAATATTTAAAATATATTTATTTAAAAAGTTAATAATCTTATTATATATATATATACATATATTAATTTATGATGGAATTTGGATATAAAAAGTCTCTAAATTATTAATGAGATTTCTTATTTTGAACTACTTACCTTAAAAATATTATATGATTTTTATTTTGATACTTTTGCTTTTACTTTTTTGATTTTAAAGTTAGTTAGTTAGAAGGGAGGAAAGTTTACGTTTTGATTTTATAATATTAGGGTGGTGGTTGTGTCTCTTTCTTTCTTACTTTTGGACATTTTTCAATTTATATGGCATTCATTATTTGGTGGTGGTACCACTATTCTGGTGGGTGGTCTTTTCCTTTTCGAAGAAAATTCGAATTTATTATGCTTACATGTGCTGGATTATTTTTTTAACTCCAGATTCTGAATTCTTACACGATATTCAAGGTGAACCAATATTAATCTCAGAAGAATGTGCCAATAATTTTGACATGGTTCTCGTGAGAGAAAAAAAGAAAGAACATATGTAACTGAGTTTAATAGGACTGTTTCTTGTTAAGTTCTGATGATTTTCATAGGAAGGTTTGTAGAAACCTAAATGACAAGAAAACTTCAAAGTCAATAACATTGCATTGCATGGTGAGCCGTTGTGGTGTTATTTTTGTTGACAAATTCATGTTGCATTGCATTATATTGACACAGACAATTAATTAAGTATTATTTTTTATTTATAAAATCATAATGACAAAAATAGGGTTTAAATTTAGGACTTTTGTATATCGATCGATCCTAGTGATTTTTAATTAGTACTGTAAAACATAACATGAGACAAGATTTAGAATAAACACTCAAATTATTATCTAATTTAGGAATTAGGAAGTATTGTCATATTAATTCCTATAATTAAGAAATTATTAAATACTGAAAATGCAAACTTACAATTATATTAATCAAAAACTCAAAAAAGAATGTATAATTAAAGTGATAATATTAATATAGGGAGAGAAAGAGAAGAGGCTTACTTACTCTACTTAATAACTCACTTGTTCTATAATAAATTCTAATTATTTAATCGTTGAATTAAAAGTTTTTAATATATAAATAAAGTCAACAAAATTTAAAAAATAAAAAATAAAAAATATTTAATATTTCATTATATAATTTTAATCAACATATAAAATACTTCTATAATTATCTGTTAATTTTAATTAACGAAATAAAATATCATATAATTTTTAACTTTATTTTTTTTAATTTGTAAATTTGATCATTGAAAATCAATATAAAGTACAAGTTATTAAGTGAAGTAGGTTTTCCAAAACTTACTCTCAGGGTAAGTTGATCCCTTTCACACACATATAGATATAACTTTTACCAATTATTACACTATTTAATAATGTTTAATTAAATAATTATTTTCAAAACTCATCATTAAATTAAAAGTTCTTTATTCCCAAATTATATATACAAAATTTTATATTAATCTAAAATGATTTGATATCTCATTCACATACATTTCAAAATATACTAAAAGATGAATAATTTGACCACTTTCAAATTATTGGTTAATTTCAACAAAATTTGACATAAACAATATGAAAATATAATTCAATGGTTGAATCGACAAAATTTATGTTTAATATAAAGTTATTGAATGGTATAATAGTTAGTAAAAATTATATGTTTTGATCCCTTTATATATATATACACACCAAAATATGAATAAATAGTTAAATTTAAAAATTTATTTCATATTATAGAAACTTATTTGACAATGTTTTAATTTTGGAAACCAATATAACATGAGGAAGGTTATAATAACATTAATGTAATTTTTACTAAATATTACACCGCTTAATAACTTTATATTAAATGTAAATTTTGTAAATCTAACTGTTAAATTGAAAGTTCATATCACTTTATATATTTATATCAAATTTTGTTAAAATTGAACAACAACTTGAAAATAATCAAAATATTCATATTTTAATATATTTTAAAATATACATATTATATCAATTTTATTTTATAAAAATGAATTATCAAGTAATCTTAAATTAATATAAAATTATATATATATAATTAAAAATAAAAAACTTTGAATATAAAAATTAAATTTACAAAATTTATATCTAATATAAAATTATTAAATACTGTAATACTTAATAAAAATTATACTAATATTATTATAACGAGTCTCAATTCTGGCACATGGCTGCTTACTCGCCAAATTTACATCCTTACGGTGTGAAGTGAAGCATTAAATTCACGATTTCTTCTTGATTACGAGTTTTGCAGAGTTTTGGTAATTTAAAACTCACACTTTTTCTGTTCCTCTACAAATGTCATATTGCAGTTGAGTGGTCACCTACTCATTCATGATTCTTTTCACCAGAAAAAAAAAATAAAATAAAAAATAAAAAAAATAAAAAAGTAACGACATGTAGCTATTTGTGTCCATTCAAAGTGCCTATGTGTACAAGAAAAAAGAAGTGTGGCATCCACAAGTTCAGGAACACGTGTCACTACATTCAATCTCATCCTCTCTTACATAGCCTTTTGAATGATAGTTGTCAAACCAAAGAAGAAGAAAGACACACTCAGAGACCCTTCCGAATGGAGAGTGTTCTAAGCCAAATTGGTGCAGGTTTCTGCAATGGCATGACCCCATCAAAGGGTTTGGCTGAGATCAAAAGGGGTGTTCTAGGTGCCCCTTTGAAGGGTTGTTCCTTTGGTGGGAGAGCAAGGCGCGTAGTGTTGGTGAAAGCTGAGGCTGTGAGCATAAACCCTGATATCAGGAAGAGTGAAGAGAAGGTGGTGGATTCTGTGGTGGTCACTGAACTCTCCAAGCCACTTACTGCTTATTGCAGGTAAGGTTCTGTTTGTGAAGCTCTTACTTTCTTGTTAATTGTGTCATTATGAGTTATGATGTGTTTTTCTATAACATTATGTGTTTGGTTAAGGAGAAATAGATTATGATGCACTTCTTTTGTTTGAGGAAAAAATAAAAGAGAAGAAGAGATTCCCTCTTTTTCCCCCATATATTCTCTCCATACATACAAATTGAGGACAAACATTTGGCAACTCTTGTTCCCCCCTATAATGAAATAGTGTGACGCAGGAGGACTGAATTTTTTATTTTTTTTATTTTCTAATTTCTATGATGTTTCTAGTGAAACTAACATGTTTGTTGGTTGAAAATTATGCTCTATCGTGAAAATTGTAAAATGGGGATGGTTCCACTTTAATTGTAAACCCTAAACCCTAAAACTCAAATTGTTTTCAATTTTGGTTCAGGGAAATAGATTTTTTTTTTATTTTATAACACGTCCTATTTGATTGTGATAAATTAATGTTATTTGTCCTATAATTATCTTTGGGAACCAAATGGATAAAAGGGGAGGGGGGAATAAAACTGTAGTTGCATTATGACAGGTTTTGTCATGTGCTCAATTTTCATCCAGAATAGTGTATAGTGGATGCACCATCTCATTGATTTTGATGTGTTAACTAGTCCAATTTATAAAGATAAAATATCAACAGTTGGAGGATCAATAGCCTGCTTGGTATCGTTCATAGTCGAATTCAGAGTGTGAAGCTCTAGTTTGTTGTTTAAAACAAGTTCCAAAATATTAAGCTGAATGATTCTGGTTCTTTCATGCTTCACTGCAAGGAATATACATTTCATATTAAAGTATAATTAATGTCTTCTGGTATCAAATGTCCTTCACAAAAGATAATGCTCAACAGAATATCATGTTAATAATGAGATTACCGTTTGTATGTTACATCAGATGCCTTTTATGTTTCTGCGCCATTTTTATGCTTCAGGTACACCATAGTTTCTGAATGTTATTGTCATCTTTCTTGTTCAAGAAAACCGCATTAAGTCAATAATGCATGTCCAAGCTAGATCCAAGTCACCATCTGTCATTTAATAGATTTTTTTTTCCAATAAATTTGATCTATTATATCTTTGGATGGTTAGGTATGATTTGCTAAAATAGTAATTGCAACCTATTATATCTTTTGGATATCGATAATATTGTTTAGTTAGATTGTCCAATGTTCACTAGTATTACATTTAATATTAATCCTCCTGGGAGAGGAACTTTATAACTGCCACTCTATAGATGTCATTCTTGTCATAAATGAAAGAGAATATCATGCAAAGGGCAACACATGAGACCGCAGCTTAAGAAAGATCTGTTTGCTAATTGTGGCTTCATTTTGTGAAATTTGATCTACTACTGAATTATTAATTATTGTTGTATTATCAACCATCCTTAAATTTAAAAGAACATATTTACATTCAAACTCACATGTGTAGAAACAATTCCGTCTTGGAAACTTGTTAGTTTTACTAGTTTCAAGTCCCAGTTACAAGGTACTGACAAAAAAACTGGTTTGATGTGGTCTGTAAGCTAAGGGTTGAAAAACAGCTAAGGGTTGAAAAACAAAGCTTTCCTTAGAAATCTTGTTGGAAAGTCTTGAATTTTACTTATATAGTACGTGTTTGATGTAGTTTGAACTTTGGAAATTGTATAATGTTTAAATTCCAAAAATCTTTATCTTTCTGAGTGGTTGGGTGCAGGTGCTGGAGATCAGGGACTTTTCCGCTTTGTGATGGAAGCCATGTAAAGCACAACAAAGCCACTGGAGATAATGTTGGGCCTCTTCTTTTGAAAAAGTAAAATTATGATGATCATGGGATGTTTTTATAAGAGAATTGTATTAAATTTTTTATGGCAGTTTATTGTGGATCAGACTTGCATTTGAATGTTTAGAAATAAAACGTGGCTTATGCTGTGAATGTGATTCCTTTTTCTTGTCTATTTTGACCTATATTTATGGATGAATTTTATTGTGCTCAACTGCTAGTGGCAATGCCCATCTGAAAGTAATTTGAGACTAATGCTTCGCTTTGGATATTTTCTTCCATGCTTTTGACTATAACAGACTTCTTGAAAAGAATTGCATTTATCCAAAAATACAATTGTAAAGTTCATCATTAAGATCTAAGGATAGCGTTTCCTGTGTTTTTAGAAATGGTCCAAATGGATTTCCTGTATTCATGAAATGAATTTATTAGGTAAAGACCAAACATTTCACCTTTGGAATATATATTTCAAGTTAGATTTATCAAGATAAAGTATGAGTCGTTTAATCTTCATCCCACAATTTTAATTAACTAAAATGGAAGAATGTTGGGCCGGGGGTAGGGGATGGTCAGCAATAACACAATATCATCAAATATGAGCCCATTAACCTTCAATTGAAAGTAGCCACTCAGTACATACTGTTACAGAAAATTCTGGTTATTGAATCTTCAAAATTGTACAAAACGCAAACAGGCAGCAAACGGACAATCTACACTTAACTATGATCATAATGAAATGTGCTTCATAAAAATATCAGCATGTGCCCAAAACAGCACCTAATGTCCTCATCCATGTCACCTAAATTCGTCGTTTCTTTGGGAGCCTGCAACCGTTATGGGGTTTTCGAGTGGTATCTTCGACGAATACAATTGGACTTCTATCCCCTCGAGAATCGGCAGTAAGTCCTTCCCTCCAGCTCAATATTGCTTGTCTTTTTCTCCTAAAATGAGTAAATCCGTTCACTTTCATAACAACAGATTTCAACCCCAAAGCCCTAGCCCTCCGGCCAACAACTTCGGCAGTTGCCTCTTCAGCATACCTAGAAAACTTTTGCCCCCCTGATTTAATGTCTTTCAAGCAACCAGCAGAGCCACTGAGTTTTACATTTCCTTTAGAATCCGTTACAGTAACAAAGGTATTATTACGCAACATCTTTATATGAACAATATCAGCAACCGTCTCATATAGATGCATAGATGTAGCACCCCTCATAAAATTATCTTCATCTATAATTCCTCTTACAAAGTCCATAGGCCTAGAGTTCGAGCCAGTCTCAGCATTATCCTCGCTTCTGAACTCTTTATCTTGCATAAAATCTGGAAGAGCATCTGCATTTGCATTCACATTCTGACCCATATTATTCAAGTTTCTGGGGTTGATGTTCTCCCTATTCTGAATAAAGTTTGGATAAGCATTCAGATCCTGGTTCATTTTATTCAACATTCTGGAGTTATTATTATCTTCTATATCCTGCATAAAACGACGATCATTCATGTTCTTGCTCATATTAATCCTCCTCCAATTAAAATTCGAGCTTGAAAATCCTCTAACATGCCCTGATGTTTCAAAAGATTGAATAAGATCCCTGATAAACACTGCTGAGATGAGCTGGAAAAAAAATAAATAAACCACTACTTGCAATATTAAATGATTATCCAATGAGTCCATTACTACTGCCACAACTCATTTCCTGTTTTTCACGATTTCAACAATTTATGATTCAGAATTGGATGATAACATATATAAATACTGAACGTTACATAAATTCATCTCAAACAATTCAGCTCAGAACTTAAAAAACCACAATTCTGAAACACCCAAATAAACAAAGTAACCACTCACTACTGCACCAATATTTCTAATCAAATAAAAGGAAATCGGTAATAAAATTAATTGAAAAGCAAACCCTAAGACTCCTGAAATGCAGGCATCCAAAAATCATTATGTCAAGAAAAATGCAGACTATCTGACGTTATTGAACATGAAGAATATGAATTCATCACAATCTATGCTAATAGCTAGAAGGCCCCCAAAATCTTCCAAAAGATGGACACAATCATTTTCCCACAACAGAATGGAAGTCCTCCCTCTATAGTTATAGACACATAATTTCACTCCTCCAGAGAAGACTAAAAACGAGTTTACATGAATTCAAATTGCCATTACAATCATTTCATCCGATTTGTTGACATCTCTTTCTTTATACATTGAAAAAAAAAAATTCACTCCTCAAGAAACAACAAAAATGAAATTCTACAAACAACTATGGAAAAAAATGACCAAATCCAAATACAAGTTCAGCATCAGCACAAGGTTTTTTAATTGAGCAGTTTCATCGCAATCCTTAATATTACGAGAAATTATCGACAAAAACCTTGACATTGTGATCAAAACCACAATCCCCGACCTCTTTTGAAACCTTGATTCAGCACATTACAGGAAACAGCAAGCACAGCGCTCATGCAAAAAACCAACATCATATCACATACTATTATTACACACAACACTAAAATTTGAACCTTAAAAACGATTAACTTGTCAGCATGGTTAACAACTTCAGTGCGTAGAGAGAGCCGGTTAACAAATAAACAACTTCAGGAACCAATTCACACAAACGAAACAACACAAGTAAGGGACAAAAATTGAACATTCACTTTGCCATAATTTCCTCTCTCTCTCTCTCTCTTTTTTTTTTTTTTTTCGCTTTGAAAATAGTAAACTGTATCTCTAATCCGTATACATCCATACATCGAAACGACGCCGTCAAAACTACAAACATAACAACACCTACGATTTTCCATTTCCTCAGTTTCGAGCAACGAAATAAAAAGCCGATTCGTTTCTCCATTTCAAAAACGGCGAAATTGAAATCAGAGAGATTCGAAAGGTACCTTCGATTTGAGGCAAACGGTGAAGGGGCAGAGCAGCGTTGAATTGAAGCGATGGTTTCGGTGCGAAAAGAGATATGAGAGAAGATCCACGGCCATGGCGAATAGAAGAGAAAAAACGATACATAGTTTCTGAATGTTAGGGTTTGAAGAACTCAGATTCCGACACTGTTTTCAGTTCAATGACACCACGCTTGTGTTTACATGGTTTTTTTTTTCCATCATTGTTGGGTTGGGCTCTGGCCCAACACCTATCTCATTTTTTTTCTTTATGTTAAAAAACTCATAAAATATTTAATTTAATACAAATCATTTTTTAGCTATTTATTTGAAATAACTTATATCTTATTCAAACAACTTGTTTAGCAAAACGTAAAGTATTTAATTCCCATCTTATATCTCTAATTCATATTTTTCTAAATGTTAAATGGTGTAATTTTTTTTATAAGAATGTATAATTTTTTTATTGGATTGGTCTTTATATATAAAGATAAAGTATTAATATCAAATTAAACTTTGATCTTTAATTATGGGACACAAATGTTTTTTTTTTTGTGAAATGGGGGCGTTAAAGCCCAAATATATTATTTAAAACCACGAGGAAAAAGTACAGCAGACTTGTCTGCAAACAAAGGAAAATAAGCCTAAATAGGAGAGACATGAAAGATTTTAATATCAAAGGGAATAGAAGACCCTTCCTTAGCAAACATATCTGCTACTTGGTTTGTTTCTCGAAGAACATGATTGCACTCTAGCTTATGAAAGTCAGCTGATGTCCTTACTATTAGGTTCACTAGGGAGTAACATGGATGATTACGAGAGCATCCTTCATTCAAGAATTTCACCGCTTCTACAGAATCCGATTCAATAAAAATATAAGCATGTAGAAAACGTTCTTTAATAATGCAGAGGCCATGATATATTGCCCATAATTCAGCTTGCACTACCAAGCAAGACCCAACCATTCCAGCAAACCCATAATAAAAGGATTCATTACTATCACGTAGGACACATCCGCAAGAGGCCAAATTAATGTTAGAAACAACCCCATCATAGTTCAACTTAAAGGCCCCCGTACTAGGAGGCATCCAACCTAATTGAGAAATTTGGTAGGCCTGGTGGGGTGATGATAAACTTTTAACGTAAGAGGTGTTGGCTAAAAATTGTATTCGAATAAACAATAATGAAAAGCTTATTGACAAAGCATTTAACATGTAAGAATTTATAAAGTGTAAGTTGTTCATGTAATTGAAAAAAAAAAAAAAAAAAACAAGCGTAAGTAACTTTTGTGTGAGTTGTTTTCATAATTTATCTTGAAGAAGTTATTCAAATATTTTAAATAAAACTCATAGATATATTATAAATTTTTTACACAATAATTAATAATAATAAATATTATTATATTTAACATATATATATATATATATATATATAATTTTATTCTTATAACTACCCTCCTTTTATATATTTTATTTTACTTTCGTTTTCTTTTTCTTTTTATTTATTTTAGTGTGAACCTCACGCTATAAAATAAATTTCTCTTTTTTTTTTAAAGTAATTACTTATTTTTTATTTTTTATTTTTACTTACATTAAAATACATATAGACCTAGACCTACTATTTTTCATGGTAATAATGGGGGTTTCATGTATTAAAAATAAAGAATAATAATAGTTTACATTTTAACATTCTAGGGTTGCATTCATTTTTCAACTATGGCTACATTAGTAGAGTAGGTGCTGAAACGGCTGAAAATATTAATATTATTATGACTAGAGTTGTTGACTTGTGGGCCTCTTAATAAATTGAGTGTACAGCAAAAAATTTAGTTCGGAGTCATTTTAGTTCAGTCTAGTCTGATATAAATTTTTACCGGTTCAAAATATACTGATTTGTCGCCCAAGTATAGATATTTAAAGTTAATATTCATGAATATTAAGTTTTTTTTTTTTGTTTTTTTAACATTTATGTATTGTCATTGTAATATCATCTATCCTACATATAATTATAATCATAATAATAGAATATTTTGACAAAAATTAAGCTCATACATAAATAATCAATTAAATAACTTCAACTATGAAAGAGAATATCACATAACAATTAAATCTATCACCTGCTCCAACAAGAATATATAATGAAAACATTAAAAAATAAGTTTAACATCATGTCCTAAATATGACTAAACAACATAAAGTAATATTTAAATACGTCTCAATGTTACATTCTATTAGAGCACATCCAACAAAGATTAAGGTTGTAACGACCCGACTGGTCACTACACACTACCCAACATCACGACAAACACACAGATAAGAGCAAGTATATAAATATATACACAGGGTCCAATCTGAGCTAAACATCAAAGTATAGATACAACCCAAAGTAGCCAAAATAATGGCCCAAAACATCAAAACAGCAACAAAATAAAACTCCTCTATCTGCCAGCTGCAGACATGCCACTATCACCAACCTAACCCTGCTCTGCTCCCATACAACGTATGATCATCGCAGTCCAAACACATGGAAACAACAAAGGGTAAGCTAGTGAAAAGAATCAGCATATAAAGCATATATAAGCAATATGAACAGCTACAGCTATCAGCACATCATCGGTATAAATCTCATCAACTATACAACACCAAAGAACTTGTGGTTCGCAATTCTACAGTTGATACTTTATCAATTTGTCACACCTGATATTGTCAACACAATGTCATCCCTTTTCTTGCACCTACCTTTCTCCCGGAGGTATGTTTTATTCACTTTTAGTATGCCTAGCATAGGAGACCTAAAACTTACACCTCACAACTTGGTACTTGTTATCTTGCACAAAGGATATGCAGACATGTCAGTTTATATGGATTTTGTTGTTAATTAGGTTGGGCATGCTGTGGCAAGACACAGTGCAGAGGGGATTACAAAGAACTTGTGGTTCGCAATTCTACAGTTGATACTTTATCAATTTGTCACACCTGATATTGTCAACACAATGTCATCCCTTTTCTTGCACCTACCTTTCTCCCGGAGGTATGTTTTATTCACTGTCTCTCTCTTTCACGTGTGGGTGTGGCTTTGCTCTAACAGCATTCATCTATCTTGAGGCTCCGATTCACCACAGGCCCTGATTTTTGAATCGCTCCAGAATTTGAAGTTTCCCATTTGTTTTTTTTTTTTTGTTTTTTGTTTTTTGTTTTTGGGGTTTTGATTCGGCGTTTTCAAGATCATGAGGTGGTACAGAAGGGGAAAGCTCGCTCTCGATCATTTTCACAGCTTGGCTTCGAGGGTTGCGCCTCAAAAACCAATTTTTCAGCGTAGTTCGAGGATTTGCCCATCTGGGTATGTGGATTCAGGTTCAAAGGGAGCTAGCTTTAATGGGTTCTCTACGTTTTGTTCAATTTCTAAGAGATTAGGCATACAAGGTGTTGTTGGAGTTACCAGGAACCATCGCAACCCATCTCTTTGTGGGGCTAAGAGATTTTACTATGTGGATCCTCAAAATGTGCACCATTTCAAGCCAAGAGGGCCAAAGCGTTGGTTTCAGAATCCTAGGCATGTTTTCATTGTTGTGATGGTTGGTTCAGGGGTTTTTGTCACTGTGTATTTTGGGAACTTGGAAACAGTTCCTTACACCAAGCGAACCCATTTGATTCTGTTGTCGAAAGCCATGGAGAGGAAGGTTGGGGAGAGCCAGTTTGAGAAGATGAAGGTTGCTTTTAAGGGGAAGATATTGCCTCCTATACATCCTGAAAGTGTGAGGGTGACCATGATAGCGAAGGATATAATCGATGCATTGCAGAGAGGGTTGAGAAAGGAGCAGGTTTGGAGTGATTTGGGGTATGCATCGGAGAACGTTGGGCTGGTCGAAGGAGATGGAAGGGAGACACTGAATGCATTGGCTGGGAGTGAACAGAAGCTTGAAGGGATTTGGCACAAGGAGGATGAGATTCTTGATGACAAATGGGTTCAGCAAAGCAGGAAAAAGGGTCAGGAAAGAGGGTCACAGGCTGCTACATCGCACTTGGATGGATTGAATTGGGAAATTTTGGTGGTAAATGAGCCTGTTATTAATGCCTGCTGCTTACCTGGTGGGAAGATAGTTGTGTTCACTGGTTTGTTAGAGCATTTCAATAGTGATGCAGAGATAGCAACTATTATTGGACATGAGGTATTATACTTGTGCATGATTTATGTGTAAGGGTCTATAGAAGCATTGGAGAAAAAAATAGGAAGTAATTTTGAAATAAATTTCTCCATGAGCTAAAACTAACATATGTGTAAGTTAAAAATAAGATTTTGGAGAACATGATAGGAAAAATCTTCTACCAATTAGTTTCTGTGTAAGCTAGTTTTAGCTCATGAAGAAGTTCATTTCATTTTTCTCCTATTTTTCTCTTCTAGAAGTGCTTTTGTAAAGTTTACTCAAAAAGAGTTTAAGTACTAGCTTTTGCAGTTTAGTATGCCTAGCATAGGAGACCTAAAACTTACACCTCACAACTTGGTACTTGTTATCTTGCACAAAGGATATGCAGACATGTCAGTTTATATGGATTTTGTTGTTAATTAGGTTGGGCATGCTGTGGCAAGACACAGTGCAGAGGGGATTACAAAGAACTTGTGGTTCGCAATTCTACAGTTGATACTTTATCAATTTGTCACACCTGATATTGTCAACACAATGTCATCCCTTTTCTTGCACCTACCTTTCTCCCGGAGGTATGTTTTATTCACTGTCTCTCTCTAACCAAATGATTTCCTGTATGATCTCTACAACAGCTCAGCTTTACGGCCTACAACAGTTTATATCAGCATATAGCACAACACAGCTTAACAGCATACAACACAACAATATTATAATTCAGCATCATCAATATTCATCAATAACAGCTCAGCTCAGCATAAACAACATTTATCAGCATTGTACAACATCAAACAACATATAGATAATAATCCCCTTCGCGCCCGGCGCACTCCTGGTCGCGCCCGGCGTGGCACAACTAGAGAGCACCAGGGGGCTAGCGCGCCCGGCGCAAGCGTGCCCGCGCCCGGCGTGACCCAACCAGAGAGCTCAAGGCTCAAAATGTGCCTGGCGCAATACAAATTGCGCCCCGCGCAACCCAGGCAGAGACTCTAAGGGTTCTCACGCGCCCGGCGTGCCCAAACCCACGCCCAGCGCGGGGAAGGCAGAGACCTCCCAAGGTCTCGTGCCCAGCGCAATTTAAATTACGCCCAGCGCCCCCATGGCAGAGACTCCCAAGGAGTCCCCACGCCCAACGCGACAATGGTCGTGCCCGGCGCAGCACCAGAGTACCCAAGCTCGCCTGGCGCACACACCTTTGCGCTCGACGGGCTTGCCTAAATGGAGTCCTCTGATGGTCACGCGCCCGGCGCGACGAACTGCACCCGGCGTGATACCCAGCAGCAACTTCACCAAGTTCGAAAGCTTGCTTAAAACCTGCAAAAATCAACAGAAACTCCACATACAACCCATCCAAGGTACCACATTTCCATCAAACGTCTCAAAAATACAATCTTTTTTGACATGCATCCATTAAAATCAAAAACACAAATTTCACCCAAAAACCCTGAAAACCCCGAAAACAAGTTTTCTTCCATCTCAGCCAAAATCACCACGACATCAACAACAATGAGCTTCCAGAACTCATTTTCAGCCAACAATCTGCAAGAACCTAGCTTCCCTTACCTCGGTAGAAGAATCTGAGCTCCGGGAAGAAGAAACGGGAGAGAAGAAGCTTGAAAGAGATCAACGAAGAAGAGAAAAGATTTTCGGCTTCCAGCTAGCTTTCAATCACGAAAATCAGCACCTACACACCTAAGAGTCCAGAGAATTTGAGACCAAGGCAAGCAAAAGGAAGAAGAGAGTGTGAGTGAAGGGAAATGAGAGTGAGTGAGAAAAGAGAGTCGGGGAGAGAAAAGGAAAAGGAAAAATGGGGTCTCACAAAGGCCCTATCATCAATATCATCAACATCATGATAAGTCTCACATGTAGTAACATACATACCAAAAACAATACAAAAAAACAAGGAGTGGGAAACATCTCATCCTGTCTCATAATGCAAAATGAAGCTGGATAAGTAAACACACAACTAGGGATGTCAAAAAAGAATTCGTACCCACAGATATTTGCAAATAAAATTCACTATGGGTAGAAAATGGATATTATAAATGAGTACTCCCCACATGTTAACGAGACTGAGACGAGTACTATAGTATTTGTACTCGTAAGTACCCACTAATATTTAATTTTGAAATTAAATTTATTTAAATTTATGAGAATAAAGTATTTTAATAATCAAATTTAGTTTTTAAATTGAGGAATTTTGATAAATAAAATTATATATAATATTTGAATAAATTAAATTTGGACTTTTAAACTGTCATTTTTAAAGAAGTTATTATAATCGGTAGAAATTATTATTAAAATATTTTTTAAAAAATTAATTATTTTTTAAAATAAATATCCATGGATGTTTGTAAATACGCGCAGATATTGAAAAAGTACACATATACATGCTTAACAAGTACTACACAAATATGGGGACTTTTGACGGGACGAGTAACAAGGGGCTATTATCCATACATGCCCTGTCTTGTTGAAATCCCCTACACACGACAACAAATATAGCATCACACACACACACACACACACATATATATATATATATATATATATATACATATATATATATATATATATATGTGTGTGTGTGTGTGTGTGTGTGTGTGTGTGTGTATATATATTATTGATTTGTTGATTTGTCAAATATGCATATGATTCGTGTCGCACGAGACTCTGCAATATCATGTTATCATGATGTATATTTACAATGATTTACCAACACTAATATCGATTCATGTCATGCACAACATTCATTCATTACAATATTATAAAATCATATTCGAACCATCACACTTAATCATATACATCCAATAACATGAGAGTCATCCAAATCAATAACTATTAATTACAAACATGAATAGGTACTAGGTACAGGATAACGCTAGCGACACCCATCCCATGTCCGGTGTGGTGCACCTAGAGAGCATCTGTTGTAACAGCCTAATTTTCACTAGGCCAAGAGCCCAATTAAGGTGGTTTAGTAGGCCGGAACGGGCCATTCCAAAATTGGAACGGGCTGTTCCGAGTTACTAAATAGACCTACTTTTGGTAGCCCGGAACAGGCCGTTTCAGAATTGGAACGGGCCATTCCAAAATACAAAAATTATCTACAAATTTTAGCTGGGAACAGGGCGTTCCCAAATTGGAACGGGGCGTTCCCAAATTGAGAACGGGCCGTTCCAAAATATGATCGTTGTGAGTATTAAATGCACCCCAGAACGGGCCGTTCTGGTTTGAAAACGAGTCGTTCTGGATGTGATTTTTAATCGTGAGTTAAGGGTCCAGAACGGGCCGTTCCGGATTTGGAACGGGTCATTTTGGCGAAGCCTAATGCCTATAAATAGAGCACTCTGCCACTCCCAAAAAGCATACCTCTCATTTTCTGAGTTCTTTTCTTCTATTCTCTCTTCTCTTCTTCTGCACTCTCTGAAGACCGAGGGGAACCCAGCAGAGGAGATCAACCAGATCCTTAGTTTCAGCCACTGTTTATCCAGGTACGAGGGAAAAGGAGATTATTTATATGTAGAGTTACATGAGAGAATTGGGTAGATGAAGAGTCCTTAGGATTAGGAGTAATTTTATAATTATTTCTGTTTGGAGAATTATTGATTTTATATGATTTTGTATGTGTTAAGGATTATGAATATATGATTAGTTTGTACAAATGATGATCTGGGAGAGAGAACGAAATTGTAGAAAAGTGTCTGTGAGTTAGGTTTTGAAAAAATTGGGGGTTTATTGTTTGGGTTAAGATTATATTAAATTGGCGATTTAATCTGGTTTTATATTAATTTATAAATATTATTATTACATGATTTGGTAAAATTGATTATAAATATTATTATTACATGATTTGGTAAAATGGATGATCTAGATGAGGATGAGGATTCATGGTGAATTCCTTGAGGGGTATGTGAACCACTATTTTGTGTGGATTGTGTGTGTATTGTGGAATTCAGATATGGATGTGGATGTGGATGTATTGTGGAATTGAGATGTGGATGTATTGTGGAATTGAGATGTGAATGTGATTGTGGTTCCTCACACTTGTGACCAGGGGTGGCACGACCTTAGACAAGAGATGCTACAAGCGTGACCTTAGCATAGTATAGGATGGGTGATTCTTCATGCTTATGTCGGGGGTGGCACGACCTCGAGCAAGAGATGTTGCAGGCGTGACCTTGGCACAATGTAGGATGTGTGATTTCTCATGCTTATGTCGGGGGTGGCATGACCTTGGGCAAGAGATGCTACAGGCGTGACCTTGGCATAGGGTGGGATGTGTGAGGCAATTAATGCTTATGTCGGGGGGGCACGACCTCTAGCAAGAGATGCTACAGGCGTGACCTTGACATAGGGTTAATCGCAAGATTTGTGATTGATTGGTGTGATTGTGAATTGTGATGTGAAGATGTTGCGTGATTGATAGAATTAGGATAGATAGAAATGCTTGTAAATACTTTAATAAGTAACGAGTTATGATGAGACGATATTGTGGATTTTTCTTGTGTGCTTTTCATATAGATGTTTTCTTTTCTCACCGTATAATTTGTGGATGTTTTAGGTGAGGAAGATCCGGCTATGAGTGGCATCTAGAATGCCAACAGTTGAGTTATGGGTATGCTCTGATATTGTGACATCGGGGCAGAGGACTTCTAGGACATG